AAGGAGACAATCTGGACTAAAATTCTGAGTGGCTCTGATCCCTACAGCATTCTTTCAGCACTGAATAAACACATAATACTCTTGTATTTAAATTCACTTTAAAAGACCATGCTTGTTTAATGCTAATCAAAATACTTTTTAAGTTCTGGCATATATTTTTAAAAATCTACTGTTATAATGTTATATTTTAAAACATATTTTTTCTTTAAAAAAGAATTAATTCATTACTTCTTTCTTCATGTCTCTGTCTAACCATCCACCCAACACACATAGATTGAATGCCTTTTGAGGTGTAGCACAGACTTATCTGCCACTCTAAAGACAAAAGAAGTATAAGAAATGGGCCCTGGATTTTCATCGAAATGACTATAGTTCAAATAATTTTCATATAGAAGATACTCTGACAATTATGCATTATTTGTTCGTTGGTAATAATAATTACTATAATAGAAATAATGTTCACATTGTTCTAATAATTTACATCTACTATCTTAATTGATGTTTGTAGTTTGAGTTAGAGATTATCCCCACTCGAGATGAGGGTGATTCACTACTTATCTTAATTTGGACCTAGCTCTCCTCATAGGCTACTTCTTAGGAATTTGCTGTTGCTCACAGGTGTACAATAAAATCATTCAAAATACAATGAATAGAGTTATGTACTGAGTTACACTGACTTAGTGTCAATCTCTGGTCCTGTAACTGAACAGCAGCATGGTTTGGACCTACCATTATTGCTACTCAGCTTCTCTGCCTTTAACTGCAAAATAGTGACAGTATTAGTTGCTTTGGTTATTGCAAAGACTAAATCTATTTGTCTTTCTCTTAACTAATTAATTCAACTGATACTTTCTGACCACATACCATATTCCAGGAATTATTCTGGTTATCAAGGAAAACATAGGTGAGCAAGAGAGGTATAGTACTGGTTCTTAGGAAATGTGTGTAGCCAAGTAAGATAAACAAAAATGTAAGCAAATAGAAAAATTGGAAATTATAGCGTGCACTAAACAAGAAATGGAATAATGAGATCAAACATGGAAGGATCATATTGCTAGATTATCAACTCTGTAGGTATAGTGGTTGCATCTGTTCCATTCATTACTGTATTCCCAGTGCTTGCAATATTGTGGGCAATAAATAAATGTTAATTGAATGAATATGTAAATAAAAAAGACTGGTGTCTTTAGGGACAGCTTCTTTAAAGAGGTGAATTGTAAGTTAAGATCTAAAGATGAGAAGACTTGATCATGTCAAGCACAGAAGAAAAGCACTTTGTAGGTTAAGAGAACAGCATGGACAAAAAGCCAGAGGTGGGCAAGGGAGTTCTTCTCTCCTTGTCTTGACACTGGATGGAAGAAAAAAAGAGCCCTTTAGAATATGAAACTTTTAGTAAGATGAGTTTAAAATTCAATGTTAAAATAAATTGGTCCTAGGCCAGAACACCACAGGAAAGGTTGCTCTGCAGAAACATTTCCTCAACTCAGGCCACATAGAATAGGCACAGATAGTGCCCTCCTGAAGATGAGTTTACTTTTTAAAATTACAAAATGTGATATACTATACCCTGAATAAGAACAGATATAACAAGCAGAAGGATGAATCACAACAAATCCAGAAAATAGAACAATTTGATGAATATGATAATAAACATGTTTAAATAATAATATAGAATAAGATAGCAAAGTTATATATAATTATGAAGAAAATATGTTAAGTAGGTTTGAATATCTTTTACATTGTTTTTGTTAATTACTATTAAATAGTATTAATATAACTATACATGCAGCCATCTATCAACAGGAACAGCTCAGCACATAAAACTCTGACTTTATAACAATTAATAGCAATTACCCATTTACACCTATTTGTTGCATAATTTCTTTCACTTAAATTTGAACTTTATATTCCTTTATTTAGTGTGTGTTTGAGTTCTTTACCATGCCACAGAATACACACAATGGTCTATATTTTGTATGCTGTAAAAATACAAAGAAAAAACTAAAAGCAGAGGGCCTGTGATTGATTGTACATTTAAATAAATGCACTATAGATTGAGACAAATGCACCAAATGTGTGTGTTTCAATCACTCTATCGTCACACAATTGAATAAACACACATGTACAATACAATGTTTAATTGAGTGCAGCAAGTACATTTATTTTAGTGATTGCATCATTGCATATTCAAGCGAATGCGTAAGGTTCACTTTGGTGAGCTGAAGTTCTACATACACATATGAGTTTTAAATCTTTCACTGACTTTGATAGTTCATAAATACCCACATATTTCTAAATGATTGAAAGGAAATGTGTTTTATCTCATAAAATTTACTTTTAATGGATATAAATATATTTGAAAATACTTCTGTTTATTAGTCCTTTAGGAGAAAACAAACTTAAAATCTCTAAACATTACTTTATCATAAAATGTCATTCTGTTCTTGGTGAGGATGAAACAGGACATTTCCTTTTTGCCTGGGCAGCTTTTCTATGACTATCTCATCTGGAAATTGCAGTTCCAACTCTTTAGGCACCAAGCATTGGACTCATTTTGCTTTTGGATTGTTTGCACAGCTTCGGTCAAATTCAGTATCACCTCATGCATGCATGCACATCTGAGGGCCAAATCTGGGCTATTAGGTCTAAAGACCCAAATGGAGCTTGCTAGATTCTTTCTTGCCTCCTTCATGCTCTATTTACATAAATGTTCTTTTTCAGAAATGCTGCCATACACAGATTTTCTGTCATTTCCATTAGTGGCATCTTGAATGGAAGAAAAAGAAAACAAAAGCTAAATAGTAGTGTTTGTTTTATTGTGTCAGCTTTCTAATACCTGTTTCATTTTCTAGGTGTGATGGACAGGTAGTAATGGTTGTTCAGTACAAGATACCCAAAAAGAAGTTGTTCAAGTAACAAGGATTATAGTTTGATCCTTTTTCTTTGAATATATGTGCTTAATTTTAATTGTCCTTCTTTAATAGGTAGATTTTTTTTTTGGATTCATGCTGTTTAACTTTTTTCACATTGAGGGATTATTAGCGGAGATATTTCCATCAAATATTTTCAATAATAGAAATCTCCCAATGTTACTCTAGGGTAATGTTTTCCATAGTGAATTCTGCAAATTTAATTTCAAATACTGTTACTCAGGAAAAAAAATTTGCCAAATATGTTTAAAAATATGTATATGCTAATAATATTAATTAATTCTGATTAAGTGCTTGTTGTGTGCTTGGTGCTCTTAATTGCTTTGCCTGCACTAATTGGCTTGAAGTTCTGTTTTTTTTTTTTCCCCATTTTGCAGATGAGGAAACAGTTTAACACATAAAGTAACTTCTTTATGTGTTTCTTACTTATAGATCCACAAAATTAATTAATTAAGAAGTCCTATACAGAATTAACCTGGTTAACTTTTTCAGCCCAAATTTTTACCAAACTTATTTTATGATGGAATACTTTTCAGGTAAAATCTTTTAACATCCCACTTTGGGACACTCTCGATGAGGATAATAAAAATAAATGATACCACCTTTATAGATATTAACAACAAATGCCTGGCCATGCTCAAACAGAAAATATACATTTTTAAAATAAACTTACTAATCAGTTTAGTTCAATGACAGATCATTTTTGTGAAAAATCAGCCAGGTTGGTTGCTTGATTTTGTCTATTTTTAATGCTCATTTGAATGTTTTGCTTATCACAGCAGGTCATTGCTGCATTATTCTAATATACCTGGTTGAAAAGTAAAACAATTAGGTGAACCAACCGGTCATGATGTTTTGTAACTGATTTTTCTCTCCAAATTGACTGACTGGAATAGTTGATTTACCCTCAAAACATTTTCATGATATTTCTATTGAGAGGGCTTTTTAATATTCTTGTAAGTTTGCATTAGAAGGTAATTTGTATTTATTATACATACATAATTTTATTCAAAATAGATATTTCTCAAAGAACAGACCATTTAACCATTGAATAAGGTTCATGGCAAGGTGAGATATCACTGTTTATTTTTAATCATGAGAAAAAAAACTAAGCTCCTTTTATTTTTACTTTCTCTGAAGTAATCTCTTTCTTGTTCACACAACAGAGAATATATATGATAATAAAAACATACATAGCATTTACCCATTTTATATCAATTAGAGAAAAGCAAACAGAGAAGAGCATAGCCTCATAATGGACAACACTTTAAAGATAGAAAAATATGCACATATTTTCCTTTGCTGTGACAGAGAGCATTTCTGAGATCAGACAAGAAATAAAAATAAATAATTTTATAAACTTTGAGAGAGAACTAAATTAGGCTTCAGCTTGATTGTTCTGAGATGTTTTTATTGCCATTTTATCCATTCTCTGCTTAGTTTTTGCTTAAGATGTTGGTGAGATGATGAAAGCTGAAAAGTAAATAGATGCTTCAATAAATGCAAACAAATGAGTGCTTTCCTAGCAAAGAATTAGGGAAAATCAGCCTTTCCTCTGAAGCTAATCCCTGGACAGCTAAAACTGTGAATTTTCCCCCTCAACATGCACACAGATGGGTTGCCACTGAGGATGACAGATGAGTTGTGTTTGGCGGGATTAATGGGCATTATCATGTTAATGGATGCTTAGGTGAGGTCTGAGCAAGTCACAGGCCTGGGCAGAATTACTGGGTTTTACAGAACTGTGTGTGCTCATGCTCCTCTTCTCTTTCTTCTTCTTACTAATAATTAACTTGTAATGTTTAACATTTTTAGCCCTCCTGATGATCCACAGACTACTGCCTTCCTAAGTACTGAGGCATTTGTAGATCCAGCATCATGTGCTCCATCCTTTGACATGCAAAATGCAGGCAGTCCTGCCTGATTTGTCCTTCCATTGCCTTTGTGCATTCAGCTCCCTCATAATCCAGAGTCTACTTTGTTGCAATCGCTTTTGAAATCTGACATATTGATCAGGAATTTAGCCTTAGTAACTACAGCACATATATCAACTGTTGTTGATTGTGTCAGGTCACATTTGATGGCAAGATGATCCTGTACCCAACTAGGAGAGCTTCTGCAGCTCTCATGAGTTGATCCTGTTCCCCTCAACTGAACAGAAAGGTGTGTTGTTGCATCATTGATAAAGCAACAGAATTTCATAGCACCTTGGTTCAGGATCTGTGTGTAAGTTAAAGGTGATGGAGATATCACCAAAGAGATTAAAAACAAAAGCCTCATCAATAGTCTATAATGGCTTGCCTTACAAAATTAAGGCAAAATCAATAAGTATTAATGTCAGACTTCTATATCTTTGTGAAATTGTCTAAAAATGGCTGGGTGTTTTCCTATTTAGTTTAATTCAGCAAACTCCTTTACTATGAATAACTATTAATATTACCAAATTAATTCAAGAAACCCTTACAGATACTTGCTTTAAAAACTACTTTTGCAGAAAATAGTTTTTACTTAACAAAGATTTCTCTCATACCCTACAGTAGCAATTATTTAACATGCTAGATAGTTCCTTAAAATTGACTTTGGCTCTTCTTTTTAAAGAGAGTATTACTACATCATTCAGGTAGGAAGAAGGTGATTAAGGGGAAAATATTTCAGAAGTTATTGATTTTTATATAATAATTAAAACTAAGTGCTCACCAATAGAATAATACTATAAGTAGATAGACCAAAAATCTGTTTGCTAGAAAGAACCTAGATTTATTCCTATTGTGAGAGAGTGGTCAACAGGGACCCCTTTTATTCACAAAGGTTTGCATTTGGATGATAAATCTATAAACCAAAGTAATGGATTTCTAAATTAGGTTGTCCCATATTCATAGTATGTCAGAGTGGGATATTACTTGGCAGTATGTTGCCATTTGTTCTGCAGAGGGAGACACTGAGGAACAGGATTTCATTCTGAAAAGAATCTAAGACTCAAACCTAAATATTCAGATAACTCTTCTGTGTATTTTCCAGTAAAAGACTTTTAAACTTTTCATTAAAAAAATATAAGGTCCACTTGCGTGGTGACTTTTTTAATTTAATCATTTATTTTTATCTCCAATAGTTTGTTCTAAATAAAATCAAAATATCAAGTTAATTCATTACAAAATTTTTAATCACCTGAATTGATAAAATTAAGAATGATCTAGTAATCACATTAACTAATAAGTTCATTCTCACATCAACCTTCTGAGTTAGGTAGTAACATTTTATAGACAAGGAAACAGATCTGGAGAGGTGGAGTATGTTAAGATGACACACAAAGAAGAAGTTGGGGATAGACTCAATATGCAAAGATGGCTGGATGCAAGAGCTTCCAGGATGTACTGACTTATGTAAGCACAACCTTGACATAAACTTTAAAACCTAAGATATGCTGTTTATTTTGATCTCATTCTAGAAATATGTTTGATGCCAAAATAGGTTCCTATGGACAGAAAATGACCAAACTGTTTAATAGTAACTCCTATGTTTTTAATGTTTTTCATTTACGTTTTATTGTTCCATTTTATGTTCCTCATTCTTTTTTAAACATGGATGGATTTAAATAATTCACAGAACAATAAGTCATGTTCCTGCAGAGTGATCAATTAGCACACTTGATAAACACACTGGGAATTCAGACATAAGATAGCCAGCCTTGGAGTATTCTTTATTAGAGAGTGAAAACCATTTAATGGATCAACATGTAAATCTTCAGTGTTGTATGATGAATAACATTTAAGCATCATGTTTTTGAGAATCAACTTTAGGAAATGCATTGAGAACCAATTTTAGGAATTACATCAAAAGTAAACTTTGGAACTTACCCCAAGGCCTGAAGTTGCCCTGCAAAAGAAAAAGCTACTGATAAAACATGAACCAAACAAAAAAATCATTTCATCAATTAATTAATTAAAGCATTAATTGTCATTGACTTCTCTTACCATAGTTTCTCTATTTAAAAACCTTGACATAGATAATAAATTATGTTCCACATCATAAGTTTTTTATGAGGTTTGATAGGATACTATAGGCAATGGAGCATTTTAAGTTAAGGTAATCTTTAATGATTCAAGTAGATTCCTCACTATTTCATAAATTTTTACCAAAATTTCATGGAAAATAAATTAATACTATTTCAAGCATATATGGAGTCAAAATATAGTTTTAGTATTGCTATTTTTAATATTCTTTTAGTGAATGTTAATTCAGAAGTATCTTTTATACTTCCAAAAAGTATACATATTTTTAGGGCCTATAAGTGAAATGCTTTCTGATATTAGGTGGATACGAGTACAAGTTTCATAGAATTTAAAAAGCAAAGGAATCCCTTTCTCATTTCAGTATTTGTGCTTTCAGAACGATTCCTTGATTTCACATAATGGCCTCTGTTGTAGGTTTTCTCAAAGGAAATCTATATGTGTCGTTAAAAAAAAAAAGTTTTATTTTTCAAAAGACTAATTAATCCAAAGTCAAGTTTACCAAGCTCCATAATATTCCTCCTTGAGCTGACTAGTCACCCGCTTTACCCAGGGGTATAAAGAAAACAAAGTGCAGAGGGGGAAGTCTAATTTTTTTAAAAAGACATATTCCCTTGTTGTGAACCAATGTTATCAGTGCTTCTCTCAGACTCTGGGAGTATGTGTGTGTGTGTGCTTCCTGTAGGTTTTCCCCAAGGGAGTGCCAAAGCAGAAGGCAGAAAGCTGCTAAGGACAGAATGCTCTAAAGATCCTGCTCCACCTGAGCCCTGCTCTCTGCCACTGCTGAACTTTTAGGCACAGCAGTGAGCCCTGTGCCCTGCAAGGACCTTTCAGATTAGGTAGGTGAGGGTCTTTGAGAATAAATCTTGAGCAGTTAGAATTTGCAGCCTGCAAATATAACTATCTACGTTCATCATCTGAAGGCTGTCAATGTGTATTACCAAGGAAAAAGAAGAAAACGGCTTACTCTGCAAAACTTCTATACAGGAAAATGTGTGAAATGGAAGGTACTTGAAGTGATGTGCCCATTATGCATTCTGGAATCAGGCACTATGTGAAAAGATACATCTCCTGCATGCCCTGTCCTTTCATATGGGTCTCAGAGTAGCCCTGAGGATGACAGCATCCTTCCAACCTATTTATCTAATGAGTTGGCCATCCTAAATATTTACCATAACAATATGGCAGCATTGCAAGGGTTAACTCACTGTCTATTAGCCTTTCTCAGCACTTTCCTCTTTGTTGGGGTGAGTTTATTTGTGTAATCTGAAGAATGTGTCCGCCTCTGCTCTGGAGACATTGGCTCTGGACCACACCCAGACAAGCATGTAGAAGGGATCTACGTTAGCTGATACCCTGAGAGTGCAGATTTGTAGCTTAAATGAACATTATTTCTGCAAATCATTTCAAATATGTTGTTTAGTTAAGTTCTCTTCCCTTTTCTTCTTTTTCTGTGGATGTAATGGTGTCATTTTATCTCCACCCAGGAACTTGTGTCAACAGCTCCCTCCTCGGACCATTCACTAGAGTTGCAATGTCACCGTGTCAGAACCTTGCTTTTGTTTTTGTTTTGTTTTATTTTAAATCTGGAATTTTTTTACTACTGTGCATCACCCCTTCCCTTTGATGTCTATTCTTAGCTAAGCTCCTACTCATTCACACTGAGTACACACAATCAGCAGTCCCATGTGTCTGGATTGGCGTATCAATTCCTTTCTGCTCCCCTTGGCTGGTTGGGGCTTTCTTTGTTACTGATTTAGTACTCACTTTCTTATGTTCCTTAAGAGCAGAACTATCAAACTTTGTTTTCTCTAAAATTTGATTATATTAGTAATATGGAAGACTCATATTAGTGTGTGCATATCTTTAATTTTTCATTTTGTTGTCGTTTGTTTGTTTTTTAAACATTTAGGACCAGAGTTGAGTATTTCCTATTAAAAACCTGTTGCATCTATTGGTGTGAACGCTTTAAGGCTGACCCTGATTGTAAGATTATCTGATGACAAAATATGGACATGCCTCCTACACTGAACCTTTAGCAGAATAGTTTCAAGATTGTTTTCATTTATTGCCTGTTGAGTAAAGCCACAGGGAAATGTCAAAGTAGTACTCAATGCCATGTTATACTAGTTTTAAGCACAGGGTAATTTTTAATTTTTTATTGTTGGTACAGCTACCAGTGTGTGTTTTTCTTTATTCTTTCTTTACATCATATAGTTTTATTTTCTTCTTCTGTATGTTTGTGGCCCTTTGATTGCCAAATCTTTTCTTGCTTTGTGATTTGGACGAAATGCATTGCTTATCTGTTAGGGTTCTCTCATCAGGTTTTCTTTAAGCCTTGGGATTTTTCCTCATTTCCTTTGTCCCAATACATGAATCAGAATGGGAGTGTCTCTGCAGGAGGGGAGGGAGAGGAGACTGGGCTGAGTAGAAGAAAAATCTGCTTTCAGAAAAGACGCTGTTTCTTGAGGGGGTCAGACCTGAGGGAAAGTATTGAAAGTCTAGCAAACTCAAGAATATTTTCCTCCCTTCCCCCAGCTCCAACCCCTAACGCAGGGGTGATTCAATATTGACTGTCGTGTTATCCACTGGAGAATTTTACTAATAAAATTATATCCCTGCTCTATTCAGGGTAAGTTTACATGTTGTCACAATGATATACTTTATTCTGATTTTATTATTAAGCTGTCTCAGCAATTCATTTGAAATACAGTCATCATGTTTGAAAACTAACAAAGTTTTAATGGAAGATAGTGAAATTTTTATACAAAATAGATTTCTTCCATGACAGGTTGTTATTAGCTTGGAATGCCCAGTGACAAATCAGGTAGTGTAATACTAAGACATTTAACAGCCTTTATAGTTTTCATGAGTACAGCTTAAATTATTGTCTTTTGCATTGTATTCTAAATGTAGAAATAATATAGAAGATATGTACGGTTTATCAAGTGATGACCAGTGGCATATTGCATCTTGTTTAGAGAGTCAGCCGTCTTGTCTTATTGGGAATATATAGTTTAACAAGACACTTGCCATCATTTCCTTAACAGGCATAATAAACAGAACAATTCTGCATAAAAGCTCATATCAGCTTCTTTCATGCCTTTTCTTTTCAGAAGGCTGCCTAAGGGTTTAAGCAATTTACTGGTCT